AATTTATAAATTTCGGACCCAGACATGAGACAAGGTATGGATTTAATTATATACTATTTCGGTATTTTTAATATATATTTAAAAATACCTTAAATTAATAATTTTTTAATATAAATAAATAAATATTTAATATTATATGCTTATTATATTATTTATAATTATATGTTTAAATATTAATAGTTTAAGAAAAGAGGATTAAAAAATAAAGAAAATGATGAGTCTAAAGGTACATTTTTATGTTATTTTTTTAGTAATTATTTTCTTTATAGACACTTAATTATTTAACTATTTTAAATTTTTTTATTTCATTTCCTGAAGTCAAATATTGTAAATGAGAGAGTTAATGAAAATATGACTGACAAGTATGCACACACTCGTATGATTATAAAGAAAATAAAAGAAAAAATAATAATAAAATATTTATGCTAATCTCGTTTAATTTAATTTACATACATCACATAACATATATCTTATATATTCCAATTATAGTATTGAAGCCCTAAGCCCTAACCTCACTTGCCATGCTCTTTTCCCACATCTTGTTGTATGTATTCAATTTATTTAATGTTCGTTATGTTAGCTCTTTTGAATTAATTAAAATTTTTAGATTCGGAACGAAAAAAGAAAGAATGGTCTCTTCCGCCCACTACTTTATTTTAAAGAAAATATTAATATGTACCACCTAATCACTACACAGTTTTAAAGTGAAGATATTTGATTTGATACACTTAAGTTATTACCAAAATTTAAGATACATATGATTTTCGTATCTCATAGTCACAATTGACTTTTAAAAGAAAAAATGAACAATTTTGTATTTCTTAGTTTGTATTAGTGGTACTTATAGTTCGATTAAATTTAAATCAAATTATATCAAATAGACCAAATTAAACCAAAATTATTTAGTCTTGTTTTTTGTCCAATTGCGGAAATATTAAAGTTTGTTAGTTATATTTGGTCTCTAATCATGACCAAAAATATCACCGCTTAATTTTAAAAATAAATATCATGAGTTACGGTGGTTATGAATATAAAAAGTTATCACCAAACAATTGTATTCATCTTTGTGTACTTTAATCTATTTTGAATTAGTACAAATTGGAGTTAGATGAGTAATCGAATATTAATTGGATTATCCTATAATTTTAAGATAATCTTAATTTCAAGTATAAAATATGAGTAGTTATTTATAGTTTTATTAACTAATTGAGATAATCTTAATGCTTATGTTTATAGATGGCTGATTTTACTAATTTTGTTAGTAAATAAGTTATTTATATATTTGAGTTTACTTAAATTTTAAATAAAATTTATTCAAATTCAATCTAAAATATATTGGATGAGTACAAATAAGTTCAATATAATCCAATTGGAAAGTATTACGATTCAATCTTTAGTTTAAATTATGTCTAAAAGATGTTGTGATCTAGTTCGAATTTAGTCTGATGAGTTCCCCCAAATAGAGAGATGATGAAGAGATTGCATGGGTGCTTTAAGAGACAAAGTTGCATGAGAAGAAGTAAAAGATGATGAAGAATAATGAGTAGAAAGATAAAAACATTAAAATGTTAGAATAAAATTTCTTTTTAAATCCGTATATATGTAAAAATTAAATATACATTATTGTACTGAATTAAAGAGAAATATAATCGGAAGCGTACCTGAATCCATCGTAGAAGATTTGTTCACGTCCAGCAGTAGAATCTTCCGAATCAATATGGCGCCTTGAAATTAGTTTTTTCTGGTGATAGAATTTCAAAAAAATAAAATAACAGTCTTATGATCCGGGGACCATAACCTCCTTTTATATCGATTAACTTTTACAATTCTTATTTCATATATCATAAAATGAGAATATTACAAAAATAGTATATGCACATTACAAACTCATACTTAAACCCGATGCATTAATGACCAATATTGTTTAACCATATTTGATCACTTTTAAACAGGCCCATTAAATTGATAGCCTGATACGCATACTAAGATCCACATTAAGCCCACACGTAAGAAAAAATCCAACAATCTCCCACTTGAGCTTTACATGACACCTTAATTATGTGTTAACAACCGTAAAAGTACTCAGAACTATGCTATCAATATTTGAGTACATCACAAATAATCTCGTTCATCAATCATAAAGACTTAGGATCAAAGCGGTCTTCTCTACAGCTAATGTAGCTAAACCCATCAATGGTCACGTATATCAATATAACTAAACAACATAGATCAAATATGGATATGCAATATAAAAATTACATGCTATGTGATCTAAGCATGCTTATTTCCAATTAGTCTTGCCTTAACTTTAGTGAGAGCAAATATAAGAAAATTCAGAGATAATAATATATATAAACATAAATGCAAAAAACAAAAACTTAAATGAAACCATATATTCATAAACCAAACCAAAGTACATAATTTATAATATGTCTTACAAAATAAATACAATATGGTACAAGACTCTACTAAAACTACACATCATCTAGAAATATGACATCTATATGAGCAGTGTCTTTATGAAAGACTTTAGCTAATAATTCTTTAGTGAGTGGATCCACAATTATGGAGTTTGTTCCAATGTGCTATATCGATATCTGTTTACTCTGAATTTTTTCTTTAACAACAAAGACTTAATATCTATATGCTTTAACTTCGTCAAATTTCTATTGTTGTTATAATACATAACTGTAGATTTGTTGTTATAAAATAACTTTTCTATGCCATCAATAATACACAGCCCATTGATAAAATTTTGCATCCATATTCTATGATTGGATGCCTCATAACAAGCTACAAACTCTACTGCCATAGTAAAAGAGGTTACAAGTGTTTGTTTAGCACTCTTCCAAGAAATAACCCCCCCAGCAAGCAAGTAAATATAGTCTTATGTAAATTTTCTGCTTTCTTGATATCCAATGAAATCAGAATCAGAATAACTAATGATCTCTAAGTGATCTAAACTCCTATATGTGAGTATATATTCTTTTATTATCTGTAGATATCGCATGACACATTTAGCTACTTTATAATGATTCATACCTAAATTGCTTAAATATCTACCTAATATCTCAATAATATACGCAATATCTGAACGCGTACAAACCTGTGCATACATAATACTCCCTATAACAGAAACATAAGAAATCTTTTACATCTCTGTAGTCTCTAAATCATTTTTGGGGTATTGACTTAAAGTGAACTTATCTAATTTAAACACAGAGATATCTACTGGTTTACAATCCTACATACCAAACCTTTTAAGAACTTTTTCGATATAACTCTTCTGTGATAATCTAAGAATACTCTAAGAGTAATATTGGTGTATTTAGATCCCTAATACAAAATAAGCATCCCCAAAATCTTTAATCTCAAATTTCGTTGTTAGAAATCTCTTGATTTCATGTAATCGGCCTATATCACTGTTGGCAAGCATTATATCACTGACATATAAAACTAAAAAAATATATTTACTCCTAATAAACTGATGGTATATATAATCTTCCATTAAATTCGTCTCAAAACCAAACAAGATGACAACTTGATGAAATTTGTGATATAGTTTACAAATCATTTGCTGTGCATCTCTGGATACAAAATTTTATGGCTGCACCATATAAATCATCTCATCAATGTCACTATTGAAAAATATTGTCTTAACATCCATATGATGTAATTCAAGATCAAAATATGCCGCTAAAGTCATTATAGTCCTAAAAGAGTCTTTCAACGAAATTGGAGAGAAAGTTTCTTTATAATCGATATCTTCTTTATGTGTAAAGCCCTTCGCGACAAGACAGACCCTGTATCTCTCCACATTACCTTTCGAATCCTTCTTGATCTTAAATATCTATTTGCAACTAAAAGGTTTCGCATTTTTAGATAATGGGACAAGATCCCAAACGTCATTGTCTTTTATATATTTTATCTCTTCATTCATGTCATCAATCCACCTGTGAGAGTTAGAATTTTTCATGACTTGATAGAAGTTGATAAAATCATTTTTCATCGTGCCAATGTAAAACTAATGTTCTTTGAGATATATAAAATAATCATATGATATTGCACTTATCATCTCTCTTGTGGATCTCCTTAATGACATAAGTTCTTGAGGGGGTAAACTTTGTACTTCAGGAGTAGTTTTTGAAACATGAATGAGTGATACTATGATATTGTCTTGATTTGGAGTTATTTTTTTAACAATACTAGGTATAAGAATATGATCCTGATAATTGTCAAGAGCATATGAGGGAATAAGAATATTGACCCATTCCTATTTAAAAACAAGGTCGCAAACTTTTTCTCCCCCCGCACACTCAATATCGTCAAAAAATTGAGTATTTTCCGTATCAGAAATTATCTTAGTAGTGGGATCATAAAACTTGTAATCCCTAAGTCGCTCAAAATAACCAATAAAATAACAATTAACTATCTTGGAATCCAGTTTCCTTTCTTATGGCCTATAAGGCCTAGCCTCTAGTGGACATCCCTATATGTGCAAATGTCTCAAAATAGACTCTTTGCCCATCTAAAGCTCCTAAGGAGTCTTTGTAGGTTCTTTAGTTGGAACTCTGTTGAGTAAATATGTTGCGGTCTTTAATGCTTCTCCCCATAGTGATTCAGGTAAGGTAGAATAATTAATCATACTTCTTATCATATCCTTAAGTGTTGTGTTTCGCCTTTCAACAACACCATTTATGTTAAGAGAACCTGATATGGTGTACTGTAGAACGATACCACATTCCTTTAGAAATTGAGCAAATGCCCTGAATGTTGTTCACCT